TCTGTGGTTAATTGGAGAAGAATCTCATGCACTTTCCTATACAGGATAGACTCGAACAATGACCTGTCAGCAGCCAGCCATAGATTACTTTTTTTTTTTTAATCTGCGTGCATGTTCTGTTTACTGTAGCACCACTCACAATAAAGATAGGGAATCATTCAAGTGTCTGTAACTGGACCAATAAAAACACAGTACATACATACTGTAGTATATTATTTAGCCTAAAATAACAGAAACAAAATTTGCCTGGTGCTAGTGGCTCACGCCTGTCATCTTACTTATTCATGAGGCTGAGACATGAGGATTGAAGTTCAAAGCCTGCTCAGGCAGGAAAGTCCATGAGAATCTTACCTCCAAATAACCATCAGAAAACCAGGACTGGAGCTGGGGCTCAAAGTGGTAAAGCTCTAGCCTTGAGCAAAATGCTCAGGGATGACTTTCTGGCCCTGAGTTCAAGCAGCAATGAGGAACAAAAATTAAAGAAAGAAAATGAAAGTAACCAATTCAACACTCAAACACTATGGATGGAATTGTAAGACACTCAGTTTCATGAAGTAGCACAGGTACAGAAACACCAATACTACACACAGCCTTTCATATTTGAAGACTAAGGAATGTGGCTTTAGAGTAGACAGAACCACAGGACATTGTTGAAGCATGGCATGTCAGCCCTCTGCTCACAGTCCTTCTTTGGTGGCGTGTGTGCAGAGCCTGTGCTGCCCAGAGGCTCCTGTGCCTTCTCTGGTCCTGTCTCTCCCCACTGAGCCCAGGATTCCTCACTGCAGCCACAATGGCATTCGTGCTGGTTCTCAGCAGCCCAGGATAACCTGTGCCAGGTTGGGGCGCATTGCTGTTCCTACTGCCTGGAATGCTCTTCCCCAGACACCCAGCTGCTCACTCTCCCATCCTTCCCCAAACCCCCCTTGCCAAAGAGGTCTACTCTATGGTACCCTGCTCAAAAATGCAACCTTTTGCAAGTATGTATGCACACACACACCCACACACACGTACACACACGTACACACACACACACACACACACATACACACACACACACAGAGTACTTCCACCACTCATCCTACTCATTCTTTCTGGCTTACATCTTTTCCTTTTCATATATACTATATAGTACTTTTGTAAGTTTGGGTATTCTCATTCTCCATGCTTGATTGTAACCTCGTCTCTCATCTCATGGTCACTCAGTAAATGTTCACTTAATGAAGGCCTACCCATTCCCTCACACACTTATTCAACAAGTGTGCTGCCACACATGGTCAAAGCCCTTTCCCACTGTTTTCCCATGATTCCCCTCCACAGTCCCTGTCACCCTCGCCTCGTGGTCCCCCACCTGTGTTTCCAAGCCCTTTTGCCTGAAGCCTTGCGCCCCTCAATCTCACACATGGAGATGGTGCGCACACACCAGCTCACCTGCTCCTCCTCTGGGAAGCCTTTCCATCCCACATTGGCTCCTTGCTCTTGAGTTCTTCCAGGTCTCTCCTCTATCCATGTTCCCGTCCTGCTGGCTAGATTCCTAGGGTCTGTGTTAGGGTCTGTGTGACATTCCTGCTAACCTGTAGGAGCTACATCCTCTAGGCCACTTTTTGGTCCTGGTGCCTTCACCTGCTGAGCCAAACACACTCCAGCTGTTCGAGAAACATTTAGGAGTCTACTAGCACGCATGTGCATCATACTGTCAATTGAAAAGTCAAAAGTAGACTTGAGTTTTGGAGAGTGAACTCATCTGGCCCCTTGAGACAATACTGGCACGGAATCATAAAATGACTTGCCTCCTGCTTGGCTCACAGCCAAGCTTGTCCACAGTCTCAAGGGGCACATTGCCCTTCCCCCACAATGTCTCCATAGTGCAACCCAACACTGAAATCCCACCCAGTGCAGCTCCATTGAGGAATCCTCTCCACTGTCCCCTACCTCCCCCCACCCCGCAAACCCACCAAAACCCTCTCAGCCCACAAAAAACAATCCCATAGCAGGAACTGAAAAATAATATATTTGCTACAGAGGGAGGTCTACAGGGCACCACACACATCCCACAGGCTCCTATCCTTGAAGCACCTTGTGTGTATCTATCAGCCTTTTCTGTAGGAAAACAAGTGATGCTTACCTGGGACACCCCAGAGTTCATGTGCGCCTCCCCCCAAAGGCTGTCTCTTATTCCCATGTGCCCACGTAGGAATGGACATGAAAACATTATCAAATTGTTTCCAGCATCTGGTCTGACCCTTGGTGACTGTAATTGCCACAGTGTGTCATGGAGGAATGATGGCACTGAGACTAGGCAAGGAAGGCCAGGTTGTGGTTGTCATCACATTTTCTTCCCGTTTGCTCATTGCTCTGCAGGAAAAGGCACTGGAAGTCATGGGAAATGGAAGAAGAGGGATAGGTTCAGTTAAGACATCCCTCCCCAAGACAGCGGTGATCCCAAGCCCCCAATCAGCAATCCGAGTTTTATTTGCTCATAAACATGAATGGGATCAAATCTCAAGGAAAGAACAGGAAAAACTAAATGCCAATAAGCACAAGGGATACTACAAAACACGGGAAAACTCAGAGCTCTGGGGAGAAAAGGGCTCTCAGAATCAGGTTCTCACAGAACAACTGCTCTTCCTGATTTTGGCAGACAGTTCTAGGGAAGCTTTTGAACTCCTTGGTATTTTATAAGCACCATCTTGAATGGGAGGAGAGGGGGAAAATGAATTTTGAAGCATGTTCTTAATGGCAAACGTGTGTAAAGAGCAGGACTAAGCTAGAATATACAGTAAGTCATGTGATCCTTTCCACCTCCTGTGAGATGAGCACGAGGGTTCTCATCTTGCAGGAAACTTGAGACTGACAGTCACATATTCATGCTCTTTAACATTTTCTTTTCAATACTGGAGTTTGATCTTAGGGCCCTGTACTTGCTAGGTGGGAGCTAAACCAGTTGAGCTATGTCTCCCCAACCTATACCCTTTTTAAGCTACTTTTTAGTTATGGCCTCAAGTTTTTTCCTGCAGGGAGGGGGACATTTTCAGACTATAATCTGCCTCCTGGGCCACCTATGTAGCTCTGAAACTACAGGTGATATGCCACCACACCATGAACCACACAACTTCATGCTTTGGAAGCCACAATCTGCTGCTTAGGACTAGTAGGAGCTAGCTTCTGAAGCCAAAGCCACTGATGTGACTTAAAGCCCAGTCCCTCACTCTCACAGCTCTCAGCTGCAGCCCTCAGGGCAGCAAGGTCTTGTCACCTGGCTAACTTAGACGTAGCCAAAGAAGGAGCCATTGTGTCACTGGGAGGAGATCGGGAGTAAAGAAACCATTTCTGACCCATCTAGCTCTGCATCAAGGCTTGAACTTGAAGGAAGAGTACAAATTTTCCTTCCTAATTCCCTATGTGCACACTGGATTTCTACATCATTATGTTCGGTTTGTAGAAGGCTTATTTCTAAAGGAATTCCTGAGCAGCCATCTGCTTGGGTGCTTCTGAGACATCTTGGTAAAGAGAGAAGGAAGCTGCTAATCAATCTTGCAAAGGGGAGTTACTTGCTCTTTCACTAGGAAACAGAGGTGCACAGGTCCTTTATCATGCAAATACTCTGACATTCTGAGGGCATCTCAGGCCTTGGAGAAGCTCATGAGTGGTGTCAGAAATGCCAGAGGGCTGCCAGTGACTGTGTCCAGACAGAATCTGTCCATCAAGAGTCAAGTCACAGGCCTGTCCCCAGGAGGTGGCTCAGAAATGTGGCTGGCCAGTGCTGCACTGACCTTAGATGGGGCTACCCAACTCCAGGAATACCTCCCAGAGCAACAAAACCAGGGTTTTGTAACAGCCACAGCAAGCGACACTCAAAGGGCTCCTCCTTCCACATAGCCATCATGTCCAATGGCTCTCACTGGGAATCTTCCATGCAACCTTCCATAAGGCCTAAAGCCTTTACATGGAAGATGCCAGGGGAAAGGAAGCACCATAGCCAAAGCCTGGTGCTCTGGGGAGAGAGTGCCGGCTGGGGGCCTCTTGGGGGACTCATAGAATCTCTACAAAGATATACCAGCACTCAGTGCACTCTTATACGGTGCACATGTCCTTCTCTTCCTCTCCATTCTGCACATCTGTCTACCACTTCCTTCCCCAGCAATATTTACAGGGTTACTCACACAGCTGTCCCTCACAAAGGTACACAAATAGCTTTTAATAACATCAGAGAAACCAACCTGTGCTACACCAGATGAACAAAGTCAAAAGCATTGGCAGTTGTACTTGGCTCAGGACTGTAATCCTAACTATTCCAAAAGTGGACACCCAGAAGATGAAAGTCAAAGTGAAAGCCAACCTTGGCAGACCCCATCTTTAATTAACTAGAAAAAAATGCAGGCTTGGAGGTGTGACTCAAGTGGTGAAACACTAGTTAGCCATGAGCATGTAAACTGAAAGACAGAGAGACAGAGACAGAAGCAGAGAGAGAGAAAGAGACAAAAAAGATTCAGGGAGGGAAGGAGAGGGAATGGAAGAGAAAGAGAAGAGGATGGAGAAGAGGGAAAGGGGAAAAAGAGTAGGAGAGTAATAGGGAGTAAGTAGGGATGGTCGAAGGAACAAGGTAGAGAGGTGGGAAGTAAGGGATCAAGGCAGATCCACGCAGCTCAGAAGGTGCAGGCAGCTTGAAGCCCCCTTTCAGCTTACCTTTCAGCATTGGAAAACCAGCGTAGTATCAGCTGTCCTTTCACCAGAAGGAATCCCAGCTGGAGAATCCCCTAGCACTTGTCACACAACCTGGCTGTGCTGGACTGAGACCTCTGCTGGGTATGCTGGGTACACAGCAGTGTGAACTCCCTGCACAACTCCCTCCCCTCCTGCAGCTCTTCAATTCCACACCTCTCTGCTTTTTCACAGCCCAGTGAGAGTCACCCCAAAGGTCTGAGTCTGGTGGCTTTCAATTGTGCTGTTTCAGAATTCCACACCCCTTTCTCTGGGACAGCTTTGTTCTTCAGATGTGGTTATTACTTTGGGACCCTCACACAGCAGCAGAGTCTGCGAAAAATGATGACTATCCTGTTTGCCATCCTCCGCCAGCCCTGTCTATTATCCCAGCTGGAGCCTATGGCTTCCCCGTGAGGCTGCCCAGAGGGAAGGGTATTTTCCACTGAGTGTGAACGCTCTATTCTGTTCAGCCAGTGAAAAGAATCCTGGCCCCAGATTAAGCTGGATCTGGAGCAGAAGGGAAGGACAGGCAGACTGGCACTTCGGTCTCTCTTCAGAGGTGACTGCTTATCATCACCATGCAACTGGAATTCGGAGGACAAACTGAAGGCGTTACGTAGTGTGGGTAAGCTGGCTCTCCTTCGTATAGGGAGAAGGCTGGTGTAATTTTCCACAGGAGTTGTGCATGGTGGGATCACCAATGGCATCGTTTTCAATTCTACACTTCTGGCACTCTCTCTTAAATTTTCTTGGATGACCAGGTAGGTGCCCATGGCTTCATTGAATGCTCTGTCCTGGATTGCCTTCTCAGTGTCAGCTATGCTGTACCCCATGTCGCGCATGACTGTGACAATAATGGGGTCCAGCTTGCTGGGCAGTGGCTCATCAGGAACCAGGTCAAATCCCACATCTAGAGCCAGCCATGGGTGTTCCATTACTTCCTCAATATTGGGCCTCTGATTGGTGTCCACAATCAGCAGTTGGGAAAGTAGATCATGTCCCTTTGCAGACAAGTAAAGGGGAGCAGTATAGTTGGCCTCTAGGACCTGTGCCCGTATGTCGGCAAATTTCTTCCCCTCGAACGGGAACTTTCCTGTTGTCATCACATACAAAAGCACGCCTAAGATCCAAATGTCTACCTTGTATCCATCATACATTTTGTGCAGGAACATTTCAGGTGGTCGGAATATCAAGGCTCCACAAACCCTCTTTAACATCTGCCCAGGGGTCAGCCTGATGCTCAGTCCAAAATCACTGATCTTGGCATTGCGATTGGCATCCAACAGGACATTGTTGGGCTTCAGGTCTCGGTGTACGATTCTGTTCTTGTGAAGGTAGTGCACAGCACTCACTATCTGTTTGAACAGCCTCCTGGCTTCATACTCGACTAGGTGGTGGCAGGAGGATTTGACAATCCATCCCATGAGGTGTCCCCGAGGGGCCAGCTCCATAACGAGGTACACACAGTCTTCATCCTCCATCACCTGGAACAACTGGATGATGTGTGGGTGATGTATACTCTTAACAATGTCCACCTCGTTTTCTATGTCATGGCTCTCCAGTTCTTTCTTTGGGAGAAATTTCACTGCCACCATGGTGTCTGTGAGTCGGTGATGGGCCAGCTTCACATAGCCAAAGCTGCCATAGCCGATGATCTCCTTCATGTAGTACTGTCCAACGAAGGTGATTCCCTCCTCTGAGGAGGAAGAGGAGCTAAAGTAGTCGCTGTTGTAATTTGACATCTTCCAGCTAGAATGAAAAAGTAATCAATCTTAAAATTATTTAGCTGATCTAAATGAAGTTGGCAGGCAATAAATCTTAAGGAAAATGAACTAACAAACAAATAAATGCAAACCCCAGAATAATGAAATGAAACACAAACACAGTCCCCCCACATCAAAGAAAGTAACAAAATATCTTCGAATTAGTCCAGGTGGGTCACAAGGAAAAGCTCCCCCACTATAACTGACAAAGGTGGTCTCAGAGCACCAGATTCTTATGTACCCTGCTCACAATGCTCTGTGACATCAAGGGGGGAACAAACCAATCACAAGTGGAGCCAGGGACATCAGTGAGGAAATGAACCAATCAGAGTCTAGCACTGGCAGTTATGCTTTTAGGCCTGTGGGACTGTTGCCAAAGGAGCCTGGCAATTGGAAGGATGGCAGTGCTGCTACCATGACAGCCATGTGGGAACCACAAGGACACTGGCCCCTGGCCCCTGACCTTTGTGGGGGCTGGGCATACCAGGAAGGCCCCTGTGGGGACATCACCCACTGTACTCTGTATTGTGCAGAAATTACAACACTGCTCTTGTCCCATAGCATTGTCTACATCAAATTGCAAAGGAGCCTGAGAGGAGGCTGTTATGATTTGACTCAAAAATGATTTCCACTTGAGAAGAGAGACCAGATAACCAAGATTAAGTCATAGTTTTGTCCCAATCTTGTTTGTGCTTCCTGTTTTCACTGTTTCCTATGCTCCTTTGTTGCCATTTTTACTGTTTTTGATTGGCTTAATCATTTCTTAAATCTTTGTCCCTCCAAGATTTGAAATGAGTCATTTTGCTTTTTCATATCTTTAGTACAGTTGTCTCTAATTTTAACATATCTAACTGTTCTGATAAAAACCAAGCATGAAATACTAAGTCTATCCCAGAGGAAGATTCATAGTTTATGGACGTGAAGCTTATTCTACTTGACAGGTCTTTGTAAGGAAAAGGAATAAATAACGGATCAGGCACTGGTGGCTCACACCTGTTGTAATAACCAGCAGGGCCTGGCCCGCTGGAGGGGGGGGATGTCGAGAGGCTGACATCACTGCCCCACAGGATTTGCTGTCAAAGCTGTCAACAGCTGTCAAAAAGTGATTGGATAGTGGGCTGGGGGAAGGGCCTGAGTGGTGGTTGAAAATCCTTAGGCAGTTGAAACCTTTAGAACCATTGGAGTGGGGTAGGGCGAAGCCTTTATAGAGGCTGCATGTTCTAAGGAGCAGGGGGTTGAGAGACAGCAGGAGGAGAAAGACAGCAAGAGGCACCTACTGGAACAGCAGGGCAGGCCTGTGGAGTGGAGAGGCCTGCGGAGAAGGAGCAAGGTAGGAAAAGAAAAGCCTTTCCCTTTGGACATTTGAAAGTTTGGAGGTGGAGGTAGTTGGAGATTTGCAGACCGAGGTTTGCAGACCAATAAAGGTCAGGACCATCCATTGGAGGCTTGGTTCCGGGTAGCTAGCCCAGGACAAGGTAGTCGCAGGCCCCCTTTCTGGTGTAAACATTGTAAATAAAACTCCTATGTCACCTTTAGCCATGCCTCAACTGATTGTCTCGCTCCCAGGTCATAAAAGTTGGAGGTCCCAGAGAGATAATCCATCAGGACAGCATTAGGCTTTGGCCACCAGGAAGCCCTCTCATAGCTAAGCACCTTGGCCCTCAGAGGAGAGAGCCTCCATTGAGTTTGTTTCCCTAGGACCAACGTGGACAGGAGTCATTTGGAAACCCTCCAGGTGTGAGTCTGAGTAGGCCTGCATCTGGGGGGGCTTGCTGGAAGGCTGGATCAGCATTATTTTCAGTCTGAGGCAGGGGTCAAGACTTCATCCATGCCTCCTGGGGCTTCCTTGAGAAGCCATCTGGGACTTCTTTGAGAAGTGCTCTGGGACCTCCTCGAGAGATCATCTGGGACTGCTTTTAAAAGTCATCTGGAACTCTCTTGAGAAGCCATCTGGAGCTTCCTCAAGAAGTCATGTGGACATGCGGGTTAAGTATATCTGTGGCTATTTGACTGTGTCGGCTTCTTACTACTTCTATGTGTCCTTTATACTTGTCCACTTATTCCTTTCTTCCAGGATGGGATGAGGAGCTTCTGTATGTTTACCCCCTGGAACGTATGATTAACAACTACTCTTCTTTAACAAAAAAAAAGGCATCCCAGCGTGGATATTCCTATAGTCCTTATCATCCTTGACCCTCTGTGAATTAGAGTGGCCTTCTTTTGATGATGGATGGCCATCTGAAGGAATTTTGACCTCCCCACAGCATGCAGGGTTCAGCAAGCCATTTTTCAAAATCATAATCAGGTTCCCTATATATGGTGTGGATTGACTTAATAGCTAACATGACTCCTTGGCTCAGGGAATGTTTAAAACAATGTCCTAAACGTCTTGTGTAATCCTGTGCCATCAGCACCTCTAATGTTTAGCCCTCCCCTCCATACCAGGAGTGGTTCCTTGTACCAGCCTGAGGGCTTCTCTGTGGATCAGACTACAGCCCCTTACTATACCGGAGACAGGTGCCAACCCCTGGGGGAGACTATGGGCAGGCCCTCTTTCTAGTGTATGTTCCCCCTAAAAACAAGACAAAACAAAACCTGACTCTTGGAGGTTGCAGCTGCTCCTGGTTCTAAAGTAGCTAGGATGGGCAGTTGCAGACTGACTTATTAATCAAACTTCTTTGTTACCTTTAATGGTGCCTCCACGCATTTTCTCGCTCATGGATTACTATAGCAGTAAACTCCATGGGACTCTTCTTGACAATTAATCACCAGAAAACTGCAAGTGGCCCTGTGACTCGAAGTGGAAAAGAGCTAGCCTTAAGCAAAAAAGGCTCAGGGGCAGTGCCCAGGCTGTGTTCCAGCCCCAGGACTAACAACAAAAACAACATTAAAAATGAGCTAGGTGTAATAACACTATACTCACAAACACAGAATACAGAAGGCAGAGGCAGGAAGTTTGAGGGTTAAGGCCAGATTGGCCTGTATAGTTAGTTCAAGTCCAACCTGGATTACATAGCAAGACTTAGTTCCAAAAACCATCCTTCCCCAAAAGTTCACTCACAGAAGAATCTCAGAGAGCTGTATCTCCATAACCCTATTTCACTTCCTCTATTACTGTCCCCTACTACTTTATCTTTTGTCTTTTAAAAAGTCTACATAATGAGTTGCTGTCACTTATCATGTTGGTTTATACATGAGGGTTATTTAGATATCTCAACATATACTCTTTCCCTATTATTGGTTCTTCTTATTCTCTCCTTCCCTTCTTTTCTCTATTTACCACTTCCTCTTCTTTTTTATTTCCTCCTTTGCTCTTCATTTGCTTGTCGAATTTTTCCTCCCTTTGTATTTTTCTCCTTTCCTTTATGAGATAGAATTGGGTGATATAGCCCAGACTGAACTGGAATTCATGATCTTCCTGCCTCAGAATTCTGAGTGGCAGTACTACAGGAGTACATTGGCATGACCAGCAAATTCCCAAAGGGAGAGAATACTGGGCCATTATCTTTTTCCATAGAGTTCTCCCTCAACTCCCTAGACTCTTCACACACATTAGACTGTTTCATGTCCTATATGTCTCTTAAACTCTTTTCTGAATTTTCTGTATTTTTATCCTGTCCCAGTCAGTGGCCCCTAGCCTTGGGGCAGTTCCAAGCAGTGACAGGCACAACCAAACTTCTCTGAGACCAGGTATCTTGGGCACAGACCCATTCCGGAACTGGGTATGACAGGGCATAGATGAGATGTAGACCATCCCCTCATTTCAGGACCCACAAGCCATCAACTGAGCAGGTCCCATTAAGGAAACACACTCTGAAAGGAAATCCTAAGTCAAAATCATACCAATCCTGATAATCACCTGCAATCCCTCATTCAATGTGGCCAGATCTAGTTATTGGTTCTAGTGAGTAGACCTGGTAGAAATAAGAGATATCACTTCTGAGACTGCATTAAAAATGGCTGCTGCTCTCTCTCTATCTCCATGTCTCTCTTTCACCCTTTGCTCTAGGTGAAACAAATGCATGTGTTAGCAGTCTGTGGAGAAGGCCCCATGACAAGGTGCTGCAGCTTCCAGATGATTGCAGAAAGACAAGAGCAGGAAGTAGTCAAGCCTGGAGATGACCATGGCCCAGTGGAAACTTTCACAGTTGTCTCCTGAGCTCCTCACACAGAACACCCCTGATAAGCTAATCTGGATTCCTGACCCCCAGAAACTGAGTGAGAATAAATGCTTGGTGTTTGCATGTTATTTGTTACACAGGCAAGCCACTGAAATGGTGCAAAATACGCAACAGAGGTCATATGATTCATCCTTTCTATATCCAAGTGCCATGGCCTACAGTTCAGTTGTAGTCTATAGATTACAATCCTGACTACACAGTCAGAAACCCTATACTGAATTCACATTCTAGTCCCCAAATACATGTGACCTTGTTACTGAACTTACCTGCACCTCTGTTTATACTTAGGTATATACAATACATATTTTATAAATTGTCAGCTTAATTGAGACAGCTGATGGTAAAGAATTTTCAAATGAAAAATGCTTCAATAGTCATTGGGGGCAATCATCATTAATAGCAACAACATAATCTACAGCATAAATGACTATAGTTATTACCTTACATGAAGAAAAGTCCAGCAATATTACCAGTAGAGCAAAATAGCTATTGTTTATTGCCCATTTATTTTCCAGGTACTATTTTTGTCCATAGTTATCTGTTTTGTGCAGGTAGTGGGACTTTAACTCAAGAGACCCATGTTGTCACTTAGCTTTTCCTTTCAAGACCACTGCTCTAATGTACAGGTTGTTATGTCGAAAATGAACTTTACAACTTTGGTGCAGGGGGGAGGGGGGAGATTTGGGGAGGGGGTGGGAGGACGGGAATGGATGGGAAGGGAAAACAAAGGAGGAGGCTACAATGCTTGATAAGAAATGTACTCATTATCTTGCCCATGCAATTGTAACCCTTCTGTAC